CTGGTAGACTTGCGAATAGAGGAGACATCGGTAGAAACAGTAGAGAGACCAGAGGAAGGTGGTATTACAGGATTGAGGTTAGAAACGGGAGGTGTGGGGATGAAAGTGGACTCAACTTGAGGATTAGACAGGACAAGATCAAGAAATAAATCTGGGTGGTTATCTGCCGAAGTAATTGAGTGAAAAGGAAATATTGTCTCGTGGAAGACCACATTGCGAGAAACAAACACTTGCTTACTATGAACATCAAGTAGTTTGTAGCCTTTCATACCAACAGGGTAACCGAGAAAAACACACATACGAGCCCAGGGCTGAAATTTGAGATGATAGGACTCTAATGTTGATGCAAAAGCCAAACAACGAAAAACACGCAAGCATGAGTAATCAAAAGAGGATTGATGAAGAGTCTCATATGGTGTCTTATTAGAAAGAAGTCTTGAAGGAGTCCTATTAACCAAAAAGGTTGCAGCCAGGACACAATCTGTCCAATACTCCAATGGGACTCTAGACTGAAAATATAAAGCACGAGCTACATTCAACAAATGTTGGTGCTTCCTCTCAACAACAGAATTTTGCTGAGGTGTCTCAATACAAGAAAAGTGATGTAAAACTCCTTTATCAGCAAGAAAATCATCAAAATACAATTCTCTAGCATTGTCAGAACGGAAAAGCTTTATTCGAGTATTGAAATGAGTCTCTACAAGATTGAAAAATCTGGGAATAATAGTGGTAACATCGGACTTATTCTTGAGAAGAAAAACCCAAGTGAATCGACTACAATCATCAACAAGAGTAACAAAGAATCTATGTCCAGTATGAGAGGGAACATGATAGGGCCCCCAGATGTCACAGTGAATGAGATCAAAGGGATAAGACGACCTATTATTGTGAGAAACAAAGGACAATCTTTTCTGTTTTGCTAAAGGACAAATATAGCAAACATCTGAACATTTATTCGGACTAAATTGTAAACGGTCTCTTAAAGATTCCAACGTCTGCCAGGAGGGGTGACCAAGCCCGTCATGCCACAACTGAGCAGTTCTTGGTGTAGTCACAGAATTAACCAAACACTGATTGGAGGAAATAAGGTTGCTGGAATCAAGGACATACAAACCATCCACTTTATTACCCTTGCCAATCATCATCTGGTTGTGAGTGTCCTGAATGAGAAAATGAGTGGAAAAAAATGTTGCTGTAATCTTAGTGTTACAAATGAGAGCGCTAACAGAGATTAGATTGAACTTGAACTTTGGTAAATATAATACATCCTTAAGAACCAAAGTAGAAGATAACCATATATCACCAGAAAATTCCACACTGACAGTGGTATTATTAGGCAAGGTGACAGTAGAATGAGAAATAGGCGTTAAAGAGACAAAACGATCAGCACAGCAACATATGTGTCTAGAGGCACCTGAGTCAACAATCCAGTATCGAGAAGAGGATAAAGAATGATCCAAGGATATGGAAAAACATGTACCTGTTGAACAAGAACCTGTAAGTGGAGGTTGTGGATCGGTGTTGACAAAAGCGGCCATGTGGTTGGACAGCATCTCATCAATTGCTGGTATTGGCTGGCATTGAGATTTTGAACAAAATTCCCAACAGGTTTAGGTGCTTTGCCATCAGAATAAATCAGCAACCTGATTGACAGAACCAGTTTGAAGGGCATTTTAGCGTGGCTTCTGTTTATAGCCAGGAGGATATCCATGAAGCTTATAACACCTGTCAATGGTGTGCCCATGGTAATTACAATGTGTACAAAAAGGCCTGTCTTTCCTCTGAGTTTTGTTGTTGCCAACATTGGAATTAGAACGACTAGAATTGCTTTTGGAAGCAAACGCCATTGTAGAATTGGAATTCTCACCAGAAAAATGAAGATTAATCTTTCTCTGTTGTTCCTCTTGAGCAGTGAGAGAGAAAACCTTGCTGATTGGGGGAAGGGGGTCAAGAAGCAGAATTTGACTGCGAACTTGAAAAAATTGATCATATAGTCCCATCAAAAAGGCCATAACATACTCCATTTGATAAAATAGACGCTGGAAGGATAGTCAATGGCGGAGCGGCCAGAGGAAGAATCCGAAACATATGAACTCATTGTGAAACAAACGAGATTCACCGAGATCAAAACCGAGATTCACGGAGCTCAGAAACCAGATGGATCAGAAATCGTGAAACAAAGAATCGGAAGTGAAAAAAATTTAGACTGTTGATACCATGTTAGAAGAGAAAATCTCAAGAAAGTAACAGAAAACGAAGGAAGCTATTTGGGAATAATCTGGATTTCTCATCTAATCTGGAATGATGCAGAAAACTAGCTTATATACTAATATGCAAGTTGTAAAGATAAGTTATAACTAACCAACCACTTGTACGGCTAATTGTATCTAATGAAACTAATTGTACAAGCTGGTCAGATTTTTTTTTTCTTTTTATATTATCCTGATCATCAACAAGTGTAGCTAATTAGATGTCAATTAGCATCAATATTATTCTCAATAAGATCATAAATATTATTACAAGTTTTCTTTAAGTATATATATATATATATATATGTCAGATCATTAGTTACTTACCATCAGTTGATGATCATCAGAAGTATTTTCAACATTCTCATCCTTCATGATTAGATAAAGTTCGTTATATTCAACAAAAGTCATATTGACGGAAAAATTAAAAAAAAAATACAAATACAAATAAAAAATGTTAGTAGTCAATACCAGTCCTACGTTTCTACCAAAAATACCAGTCACCCAAGATAATTTCCTAAACTGAGAAAAACCAGATCGAATTTGAATTCGCTGTAACAGTGTGGTACGATGTTGTACTAGAATTTCGTTAAACGAAAGATAATTACAGAGAACAATATTGTTTTTTTTTATTCCATGAAGAACATTAATATTATTGGTTAAAAATATCTGTTACTGTGCAGTGGTGTTAAGCGTGTGTGTGTGTGTGTGTATACACATATAAATTTATATTTTTATATATAGACACACTAAAAACTTGTGTGTTTTTCCAGAATCGGATCCTCTAGAATCTGGAAAACTTTATGGTGGGGGTACGTAAGACTTTAATGAATACAAGAACTGGTTCGTGGTAGTACAATTCACACCAAACATTATTATTGCGCGTAAATGCTTAATATCTATGTATCCATTCATCAAATATTGCCCGTGACACATGCATCATGCGAACTTTACATGAGGAAAAAAAAAAAGGGAGAAGCGATTCTCCTTCCAATTCAATAATTTGTTAACTTATAAAATTAATAATGAGGTTTTTGTGAAGTATCCGAAATGAAGAAAGCAAAATATCAATCCTTACATTAATCCTATTACTGTTGAATGAAATGTCAAATTTACTTATCTATTTTTAATAAATGACCATATATTTTATAATTATTTACTTGTATAAAAGGCTCACGAGATATATATAGGAACGTCTCATTAAAGGCTTCTCATAGGATCCTCATCCACTATTGTAATGTACACATTGTGAAATTCTAGAGTCACTTTTTTTACCATTATTTTTATCATTTTTTATATTTATTATTTGACACCTAAACTCTATTATTTTATTTTTTTGTTTAAATAATAATATATCATGCTATTAGAGTTTACTTATCAAACTAAATAATAATACATCATGTTATTAGAGTCCACTTGTCAAACTAACATAACAGACCGGTTACCCAAGGAAAAATTGAATAAGGCCAATATATTAATTTAATTATTTTATGGTGGCACATTAACTATGGTTCATTGAAAAACTGTTGTTCAATGTGTCCTTTGGGTCCATATCACAGTTTAGTACTCATTATATGACGGTACAAAATCGTCGTGAAATCTTAAGGACATATGTTATTCGATTTTACGACGCTTTTTTAAACATTATGACATTTTCAAGCCATGGTTTTTAACCGTCATCAAATTCAATTTTTCTACTAGTGACTATGAATTCAACAACAACAAAACCCCATTTTAAAATTTAAAATGTCTTAACCAATTTTGGCGACGGTGTATGGACTACGGTGGCAGTACAGTGGGAATGCCAGATGTCGAGAACCACCTTAAAAAAAATTACCAAAATACAATGACTCCTAATCTCAACCCAAGACAAACGTCGTATTAATTAACCCAATGTAATTAATCTCTGTGCCACATTTGTCGAACATTTCTGCCTAAGGGCTGTACAGAAAATGTATATAACAAACGATATATATATATATATATATACATACTATCATAAAAATATAACTATTAAAAACTCGTGTATATATATATATATATATATATAATACCTAATATGCTGTCATTTATGTGTTTTAACTTCATTCTTGCAACTTGGCAAATTATCAGTATATAAATACGGTAGTTTATATTTCCCTTTCGAGCCGGACATTGTGTATACGAACTCTAGATCTTTTTATGAGTTACATCCATGGAAGCAAAATTAGATTTATTATCTCTAAATGGTTGCCCCAAGAATTAAAGACTAGTATAGGTTCATGTACACGTGCATTGAGTAATAATTTCTATTTGCTAACGTTGGAAGAAAAGCTCTCTAAGAAAACGCCCAACACCCATAAAAAAACCTTAATGCTCAATACTTCAATGCGTCATGAAGAGATTTTAAAGATCACTCTGACTAGCGATATCAACCAATCAACAACGCTCCTTGGTGGTGGGCCAGCACCATTCAAAATCCTAACCAATGAGATATAGGGGCCATCCCACAAAACCCGAAAATACAGTTAGACCCTTGGTTGTCAATAACACCTATAAGAAAAGGAGAGGGCATTTTCGTCATAGCAACTTCAACAAAATATTATACATATATCTCTCAGATTCTATATATAAATGACTTGCCCATAACTTTTGCAAGTAAAGACTAAAGTGCTACTACTCTTACAAGTAATACAAGTCTTCTTTTCCCTCTCTTCTGCTCAGTATTTTTTTTCATTGTTTTGGTGAAACTTTGAAACTAAGTCACAAACAATGGGAAGGTCTCCATGTTGCGAAGCAGATCAAGGTTTGAAGAGAGGTCCTTGGACAGCAGAAGAAGACCAGAAACTCTTAGCCTACATCCAACAACATGGCCATGGAAGCTGGCGTTTCTTACCACAGAAAGCTGGTAAAATCTATATTCTATCTCTACGTACATTACACATGGTTATATATACAAATATGTATGTATGTATGTATGTATATTCCCTTGCAACGTATCTTTTGTATTTTTCTTTTCATTTCATAATATTTAGTTAGGATTCTGGTAAAAGATAGTGAATACAAACTTAGTTGGGATGTGCTAACAATCTCTGATATCAGTTCTCACGGGATATGTACCTATATATATGGGGTAACATGCATGTCCCATTTTTCATTTGGAGAATTTACGCCATATAATATGTGTATATTAGTTTCTTATATGTTTTGTGTTTGTTTGTTCTTTGTCCCAGGACTTCAAAGATGTGGAAAGAGCTGCAGACTCAGATGGACAAATTACCTGAGACCTGATATTAAAAGGGGAAAGTTCAGCTTACAAGAAGAAAGAACAATCATTCAACTCCATGCTCTACTTGGAAACAGGTATAAAGGCCAACTTACTACATATGCCTATACGTCTGACTAGTACTATGTGTGTATTTGAGTTAGACATGTACACTTTTTGTGTGCTAGAATGTTATATTTGAGTTAGTAGCTCATGAATTTTTTTATACTTTGAGCTATACGAAATTACAAATATTTTTTTCGTGTTCAATATTATAGTACTACGCCTTAAAATGTGCCTTGTTTATCTTGTTTCCCATCTCACACTTTTAAGTTTTACCCTTTTCTTTTATTATTATTATTATTATTTTTTGTAAATAACCCTTTGGTTTGACTTAACGTATATATGATTGCATATAGTAGTACTTATACCTCACTCATACTTGATACATCATTACGCTTTTTATGAGTGCATAATCTTTCTAAAGTTTAATAAATATATAGAGCATCATTATACATGCTTTTCTTGGTTCCAAATTTAAAAACTCAGTTTCTTTTTCTACTTTTAAGTATAGTACTTTTACATTATGTGTGTGTTTGAAACCGTTTTTGAAAATAATTTTTACGTATTTCAAGAAGCAAAAAATGAAAATGAAAACGCAACGACGTTTGTTTAGTAAATATTTTGAAAATGAAAATAAAAATAAAAACAGTGAGAATAATTTTTATGAAGTAATTAGAAAATAGTTGAAATTTATTTTCACTTTTCTGTTTTCATTTTTTAGTACTTATCAATAATAATATTATAATATATTAATTAATAAACACAATTTTATTTTTTTATTATACTCAAAATAATCTCTTAAAAAACTAACTAAACATAATTTTAGAATCGGTTCCAAAATAATTATCAAAATAATCTTATTTTTACTTTTTATTTAAAATAAATCATTTTAAAACCAATACCCTATATTTTTGACTAAATCTTATATAGGTGGTCAGCTATAGCCACTCACTTGCCAAAGAGAACAGACAATGAGATCAAGAATTATTGGAACACGCACTTGAAGAAGAGGTTAGCCATGATGGGCATTGACCCAATGACTCATAAGCCGAAAAGGACCACCCTCAGCTCGGCTGCAGCCGACCCCAAGAACGTCTCCAACTTGAGCCACATGGCTCAGTGGGAGAGCACCCGGCTCGAAGCCGAGGCTCGGTTCACCCGAGAGTCCAAGCTCAGCCGCCAAGTCCGCGCCAATGATCAGCCTGCTGAAGATCAGCCGTTGTCGTCCGACCAGATACTAAGGAAAATGCCGACAACGTTTGCGCCGCCGCGTTGCACCGACATCTTAAGAGCGTGGCAGCTGGGCCGTCCGCACTTCCCGAGGCCCGCACAAGGCAATGATCACAGCCGGAACACTGGCAGTATTAGCACCGGCGGCCATTTTTTCTCTCTTGGCCTTGGAAACATTGGATCTGATGACAAATCTGACGGCTCCGCCGCTTTCTTAGAAAACAATGAGGCTGACAAAGGCGAGTCATTGTTCGAATTCAGCGCGGTTTTCGAGGATTGCGGCAACGGTCATGATGATACTCAGTTAGATGAGGTGTACGCCACGCGCCGCCTTGAGGCGGTGGGAGGAGCGGAGTGGATTGAGGATGAAAATCTCATCGAAAGTAGCTTTGATCACCTTTATGAAGTGAACAAGAGTTATTGGAGCGACGTACTTTATTTGGTGAACTGTGGACCCTCAAATTTGCCAGTGTTCTAAGTTTTATTATTATGCACGTGACTACGTAGTTCAGGAAAGGACTAGTATTTTCGCGTCTAGAATATTTTGTCATGTATTGTTTTTGTGCCTTTTCGACTATAAATATATCATATATATTAGAGTACTACTTGGTTTTGTAATTAATTAATTACTTAGTTGAGTTAGTACAAAAAAACTCTTTCGACTGCATCGTTAAAATGGCTGTCTCACAAATGTGTTACACATGCAGTTAGTTGTAATTTTATTTTCACGATGTGTTTTCTCTTGTCTTATCTAATATAAAAATAATTAATTTAAAAGAAAAACTAACATTGACACTTCTATTTCACTATCTCACATTACTAAGTAATATCAAATTAGAATTCCAAAATATTACTGCACTCATCAGCCACAATAACCACCCACGAGACCCAAGCTACTATCGTGAGGGGTGGGAGTCCGACAACCGGCAACATCAAGACTCCGACACCAGCCAGAGGTAGCATTAAGACTCCGACCTTAAGAAGCAAACCAAAGAGAGAAAAATTATTCTCAAATACAATGTTATTTAGTATGCTAAACTTGGCAAGCGCTATATTCGGTGGCAAACTTGATGCTAATATAGCAAATAACAAATTTTAGCTTTTGATTGCTCTTTATTGATGCATATATATAACCATTTCTTTTAATCATTAAAAAATTGTCATTTTTAAATTATTTTCATATTAAAAAATCACATTTATAAATTTTAAAGTCTAATAATTATGATAAAAATTAGATATAGAACTTGAAATAGTGTTGTTTATTGGAGCACATCAAATGTTATTTTTATACTTTTAAAGCACAAATATAACATTGCATTAACCTTTACTTTGACGATGATACAAAATACTATATTCTAAGTAAGCTATAACTATTCGATATTCTAAGTAAGATATAACTATGCGATGAAGACAAGTATTTATTATTTAGTGATTTTATTTAAATCTTATTTTCTTTAATATTATTCTAGATTTTTTTTCATAAAATTAAAATCAATAATAATAATAACAAGTGAATATTTTATAATCTTGTGGACGTTCTAAGTGCAAGTTCTTTTGTTTGCAATTGCAAATGTTTGTCGTGCATACTCATTCTCTTTGCATTTTCTCTCTCATTGCAACTGCAAATGGGCTTCTCCTGCCTTTTTTTTCCTTTGCAATTGCAAATGTTTAATGTGCTTGTTCTCCGTGTTGCATTTTCTATCTCTATGGAATTGTAAGTGTTGCATTTTCTCTTGTTTATAAGGTATCTCAACATCCTTCTTAAGTAAAAATTGTATATCCTTTTTGTTAGTTTTTTTCTCATACAATAATATTTACAAACAACATAGAAGAATTAAGCTATTCTATAGTAGGTGGGAGTGGATGAAACTTTATGCTTTACCGGTGAGGGACTTTTGTCATGGCACATTAGCATGGTGCTTGCTTAGGTATATCTTCAAAAGATCAATTCCCCTATAAAAAAAAAATCCAAAGTGTACCGATCTTTTAATGCAATTCTACCATTTTAATGAGAAAAATGCTCCAAAGACCTATTATAGCATGAATTTCTTCAATTAAAATGTAATTGTTGGTGAAAACTGTTAGTAAAAATATCAAAAATATTGAAATTGTACAACACTAATTCAACACTTCTACTAAACTCGGAAAACGAAATTGTAACGATGTTAAGGCACGTGAATCACGCTTTCCTTATAACAGATGTGTCCCCTCCGGCGAGTGCTTGAGGTAATGTTGGGCGTCCATCTCCCAGGATACAACGACAACGACGGTAGCTCGAAACACTATCGGAACCGTCCAACGAACTAGAACTTGGGTCTTCTCTCTATCACCAAAAACTAAACTACAAAAAGAACACACAAAGAACTCGAAAAACAAGAGAAAATCGAGAGAAGAACTCGAGAAGTGTATGTTGTCCTTCATGTGGTGCATGGCTTTTATAGGCTCTTAGAAAAAGGTTACAAAGCATGGCACTATGGGGATTAAACGCGCATCTTAATGGTGCAAAATGTGCATGATGAACCTAGCCACAAATCTACAGTAAGTTTGAATTTTATGAAGGCAAAACGAATGTCATAACCGGCCATTAAGTCCACCAGCCATTAAGTCCACCATTAAGCTCGGTATTAAGCATACTATTAAGCCCCCTTTAATCACCATTAAGCTCCATACGGTTTTGGGTTTTGACCGAATGCGGAAGGTCTTGGGCCGAATCAAAAAAAAAAAAAATTGCAAAACAAAGCCCGCACGGAGCGGATTTTTCGGTTGGGCCCCAAACCCGCCTAGACCGTGATTCACACTCCCCCCCAAACCCACCGGGACCGTGATTCAAAATGGGTCTCAAAATGGGCCTTTAATATGGTTTAACGAGCCATTTTTCCAACAAAAACCATTGTCAAAATATTCTTAATTTGTTCATACGTAGATTAATATACATGACTCCATGTTTTTTTTTTTTTTGGGACTCCAGATGTGTTTTTTTTTTTTTTTCGTAAAGTAAGCACGTAGGAACTTTGGAATAACATTCCATATAAAACCGTGTGTCTAGCTAGCACCACAGATGAAGTAATTTATTTATTTGAAAGACGATACATGAAGGAACCAACTCCTGTGTCTCTCCTTATTTCTGTTCTCTTTTATGTCTTTCTAATAATATTGTGTTATGTCAATTAAAATGTCACATCAATTAAAAATTCTTATCACGTCATTAAAAATTTATGATGTGGCATGTTATTGTTTGGGGGGCAAAGAACGTACAAGAAAAAAGGGGCATACGAAACAGGAGTTGGGTCCATACATGAAGTTGTAGTCTCTTATGTTTGCTAAAACTGTGGAGCTTATACGCGAATAGTTAATATCATTTGTGGCTTCCATAAAAACAAAGATAAAAACCATTTATTTGACAATGATGGCGCAACGGTCGATCGATGCTAGACACGCCCTATCTAGATAGCATTATATGTGTATTGATTATATATGTTCTCATAACTTCTTTTCTCTTTGCTTGGGATTTATATTCTTCACATGCATACCTTTGGTATACTTAGCCTCCCCATAAATATTCCAACCTTTTTCATTAGATATCATATATAGGAAATCACTGATTTGCGCTATCTGACATACTTGCAGAAGTATAACCTTTTTTATACAGGGAATGTAAAGAAAGCTACCAAGTACATTATATTAAAAATAAAAAAAAATCGCACCATAAATCACCACGTCGTCTGTTTCTATCTAGCTAGCTAGGGGGAAGAAAAGACCAAACATTTATTATTACGTAATCTTGGAAATGAACAAGAGAAATCGAATGGAAGGACTTACCAAGTGCGGGGAAACATAGTTGCACGACATATACATAAATATATATATATATATATATATGGGAGATGTATAGCGACTCAAACTTTTGCTTGGTGAAATGTACAAAATTTTTGCTTTCCCTTGTGTCGGATTATTTTTTTCCCTGTATTGTGTGAGCTGTAATTTTAATTGATGTCTTTATTGCCATTTATATATCTACAGATATGGAGCTAAGATGAGAATTATTTATTGCTCGTCACATCGAGCTTTTATTGTCGGAGAAAAGATGATACTGAAGAAAAGTAGCTTCTTTACCACAAGCATAGCATTGATATATATGTCTTTCCTTTGTCCGAAAACCTTCCTCTTGCCCAATTGGAGTAGTGTTATGATGGGACTTATGATAAGCACAATAAAACTCAGCAAATAATTATACCATTCATCCGTGATCTACAGGGCCAGAAAGTACCCATGCATGTAATAAATAATAATGTTATAATTTTGGAGACACCTACTATTTATGCAGCACGTATGAATAGTTCTACTCATCCGGATGGGAGCATCATAATGCTGGTTGAATTCGTCAACAAAATAATAACGAATTTTTTAACAGTTAACATGAATTTAATTATCTAAAAGATAATTAAAAGTATAATTAAAGTAAGAACACACAGAATTTATAGTGGTTCACATTCGATTTGAGAGGTACGTCCAATGTGAAAAGGAGAAAAATTTCACTATGTTTAGAAGAATTACACACACTAATGCTCTTATTGAGACAAGGATTTTCTAACCTATAATCCCTTATTTATACTATAGGTTACCGCCCCTGCTTGTTCCCTTATTCAAATTCAGGGATCTTTCCCTTGTCTTTTGGGATAATTTTCCAAAAGATAGAAATTATAATCAATTATGACGGTTTTCCTATTTGAATTTCATTTATTTAAATTACTAATAGTAAATCTCAAAGAGAATCCTTCAAATCTTTAACTTTATGTAACCTCGACACTGTAGACGCTTCCTTTAACCTCTTCATTATTGCATGTGACTGCGGTCAACCTTATGTAACCTTCTGACAACGGTCGACCTCTTACTCATATCATATGCGTCCCTGTAACGGTCATCTCCTAAGAAAGTTTTCTGCTGACATGGCCCTTAGGGCTGAGTTGTCCTTGATCATGGAATGCTCTTCTTTATGGCATGTGGGACCAATTCAAGGTCTAATTTATGAATATGGGTTTTACCCTACGATATTTGCCCCCCAGGTCGAGTCATTCCTCTGGACTGCTTTGAGCTTTGACCAAGTAGGGTCTACGTTTTGACTCTCCTCCGCTGAGTTAGCTTGCTCGTGAAGGATTCCATGCCTGAGCCTATCTTGGTAATGATGGTTCTCACACCAAATATGCCTCTTGGAGATTGTAATCGTTACATCGGTCAACTCAATCTGCCTGATGTCTCTTTGCCGATTTGAATGGCTAAATTTGAACCGTTAGATCGTGCCTTTTCACTTTCTCGCATGTTCCCTCACCGTTGGATCGTGACTCTTCATGTTCATTGTTGGATGAGCAGTTATTCGATCCAACGGTCTAAGTTTGATGCTTCATATACTTTATAAAGGGCAGTCCCTAAATTCTTTTTTTCATCAGTTTATTCCAAAAAAAATCGTTGAGACTCTGTCGA